GCAGAGGCCGCCGCGGAGCCGCTGCCGGTCGGGCCGCGGCCGCCGCCGCCGCGCTCGGAGGCCGCGGTCTCGGGGGTGGGCTCCCTGTGGTACGCCGCGCCCGAGATGCGCGCCCCTCGGCTCGCGCGGGGGGGGGGAGGGGGAGCCGGGGGCAACGCTGGGGGGGAGGAAGGGGGGGGGGGGCAGAGAGTGTTCAGCCACTTCCACTTTCGTGTTTTTTTGTTGCTCGAGCGCGGGTGGGGGGATAGTGGAGGCTAAGGGGGGGAACGGCAAGATGGTTTTCACTTTGGGGGGTTTCGAACACGGGGGATAGTGGAGGCTAAGGGGGAGAACGGCCGGGCGGTTTTCGACAACTTTCGGGAGTTTTCGACAGTGTCGGAAGCCTGGGGTGGTTTCCATCGGCGGTGTCTCGTCGAGCGCGATCCATCGCCCCGAACGACCGCCAGAGAGCCGAGATTGCTGGAGGGCACCGTTGAGTGCTCCTCCTCCTCTTCCTCCTCCTCGACTGGCGCTGGAGCTTCCACGAATAGCTCCAGTTTTGCCCCGAGATCTCCGGATCTACCCCGATGCATCTGGACGTGCATCGATTTGTGTGGATCTCCGGCGATCTCTGGGCATGTTTCGATGCATCTGGATGTGTATCGATTTGTTTGGATCTGACTGGACTTGCTCCAAGGTAGCTGACCTTATTCCGGCGAATCGATTGGACAGGCGTCTCACCAGGGAATGAACAGACACAGACACAAGTAAGCATCGATTGCCAGGGTAATGTTGGAATATGTGGGAGAAATTCAAGAACATATATATATATATATATATATATATATATTTGAACAGATGGGGAATCCTGGAATATGTAATTATTTGGAGTCGTCGAGCCTTCAGGGAGGGGGTCAGGTGCGCTCCCGGGCGCCCCGCCGAAACTCGGGCGTGGCCTGCATCTCCCGGGAAGGGCTCCTCCTCGTGGTCGCCCCTCCTCATGCATCCTCATCCCTCCCGTCGTGGGCGAACGGGTCCAAGTCCCGAACGGGTTGTGCCTGGATGCGTTTTTGTTCGTGGCGTGGCGGTGGCTTCGCCCGTGAATGTAGCGATCTTCAGAGGAGATGTTCGCGTGGTGTGACGTGCGTCCTGTCTGTATAAGCACGTGCGTTGTTCGGGAGTTCCGCCTTCCTCCTCCGTCCTCCTCGTCCCCCCCTTCAGAGGAGGAATAGGTACCCGCTCTCGTCGCCACCGCTGAATTCGCCTCGAAAGTCTGGTCAGAACGCACCCCGGGAGAGGTCGAGGGAGTGGCAGTATCGGTACCTCTTGGTCTCCTCACTCTCATCCTCCTTCTTCCGTCCTCCTATTCATCCCTTCTCCCTCCTCCCCTCCTCCCTCCTCGTTCTTTCTTGACGCTATGCAGGCATAAGCGATGAAGCTGTTGCCCTTCTGCGACGCAGAGGGGAAACATCGGTTAATACCGACTTACACCATGGGGTAACAAATTATTGCGAGGATGTTGATCGGCGGCGAGCGAGGGGGGGAAGTGAGAAGGAAAATGCTTTTTCCGGAGGTTTGGAAGTCCCCTGGTCTTCTGAGAAGCTGCCTCAGCCTTCCCTGACGGCACGCAAAACCTCTCAGAAGGCGCGAGGGTTTCTGAGAATGTCTGAGAAGTCCCGCCGCCTTCTGAGAAGGCCTGCTTCTCATCTTTTCTTCCCCTCGTTCGCCGCCGAGTTGAGCCAAAATGGCTACGAAACCCCTCATGGTCCTCTTCCTCGTCCTCGTGCTCCCTCATCACTCGAACTTGTCGGCGTCGTCCTCCTCTGCAGTCGGCGGGGCCTTGCATCCATATGAGCGAAGCCAAAAAAGGGGTTCGTCTTCACCGACATTGGCGCGTAAGGTTCGTGCGTAAGCGCTCTCGTCTCCATTGTGGCTTGCCGCGCTGGTGGCCCGCGTAAGGTCGCTGTCCCGTTTTGGATCGTCGCTAATATGTGTTGTTCTTGCAGGGGGCAACAAGGTTCTTCAATCGGATCGACCGCCCTACGCGGCGTCCTGTCCTGTCCTGTCCTCGGCGTCCTCCTGCTTTTCTCCTCCTTTCCTCCTCCTCCTCCTCCTTTCCTCCTCCTCCTTTCTTCCTCCTCCTCCTCCTCCTCCTCCTCCTCTTCTGGTTCTTCTCCTCTCCCTCCGGCTTCTCTTCCTTTTTCACTCCCCTTCTCCTTCTCCTCCTCCTCTCCCGGATTGTTCCTTCTCTTTTACAATCAAACAATGTGAATACTGTCCTCCTCTCGCCCATGGTGGCGTCCGGGAAATGGCCGCCCCCCCTCCGCGTATTGGTTTGTTGCATAGGATTCCCAGGAAACGGGTTTTCTCTTGGGTCTTGTTTCGGAATGGTGTTCTCGCTGTAGCATTGGCCTCATTTTCGGGCTACCGCTCGTTCCGAATCGTGCTCCCGCTGCTGCGTTGGCCTCATTTCCATGCTTCCTCTCGTTCCGAATCGTGCCCCCGCTGCAGCGTTGGCGTTATTAGTTCCAGCGCCATGCCACGGCATGGTGTTCAGTTCTTGCAAATAGGCCCCAAAATTTTGGAAATGCCACCCCGAAAAAAACATACATCCGAAGTGACTGCACATTCAGTGTCGATGCCGCAGAAGCTCCCCCCCTACTTTGGAGCGTCGCCACGCCATGCTATGTCAGGCTTCGAGTCCTCATTTCCGCGCTTCCGTCCTTGGTTTTTGTTCAAAGTGCTGTTCTCGCTGAAGCGCTGGCCTCATTTTGGGGCTACCGCTCGTTCCGAATCGTGCTCCCGCTGCAGCGCTGGCCTCACTTCCGCGCTTCCGCTCGTTCCGAATCATGCTCCCGCTGCAGCGCTGGCGTCATTATTTCCAGCGCCACGCCACGGCATGGTTTTCAGTCCTTCCAAATGGCCAGCAAATCTAGAAAGTGCCCCCCCCCCTCCCCCCCGAAAAAACATTGGAAGTGACTACACATTCGGTGTCGATTCGACGATGTTTTACGCAGCAGAAGCCCCCCCCCCACTTTCGGGCGTCGCCACGCCATGCTATATCAGGCGACGCGTCATTTCCGCGCTTCCGCGCTTGGTCTATTGTTCAGAATGCTGCTTTCGCTGAAGCGTTGGCCTCATTTTCGGGCTATCGCTCGTTCCGAATCGTGCTCCCGTCGCAGCGTTGGCCTCATTTCCATGCTTTTCCGCTTGTTCCGAATCGTGCTCCCGCTGTAGCGTTGGCGTCATCATTTCCAGTGCCATGCCACGGCATGGTTTTGAGTTATTCCAACTCGGCACCAAACTCAAAAATGGCCTCCCGAAGACACCGTCGGAAGTGATTGCACATTCGGTGTCGATTATTTGATTTGTTGTGCCGCAGAAGCCCCCCCCCCTCATGCTGGGGCGTCGCCACGACATGCTATGTCATGCTACGCGTCAACCTTCAACACCATGTTATGCCATGTAATGCTATGCCATGCTACGATATCCGATTGTGCGAATAGGGGGATGTCTGCGCCATGGTAAGGGATGGGACGGAGGAGTAGGACGTCAGATAAGACGCGAGCGCACCTAGTTTGCCCTCGTCCCCCTTCCTCCTCCCTCTTCCTCCTCCAACCTCCGTGTGAGGAGGAAGGATGCTGCAACATACCCCCCCGTCCCACGCCTCCTCCGCCAAAAGCCGCTGCAGGTACTGGCACTCTTCTTCACTGTGCGAAGCTCCCCCCTTGCAACACGAGCTCCCAGTGAGCCCGCAATGTATGATGGATCCGCTTTTGAAAAACGGATGTACTTCAGTATCGTTTAAGGTTTAACCGATCCCCATCCCCATCCCCATCCCCATCCAGACCCCCACCATCTCATCCCCCCAGTTGGGATATACCCTTCGAAATCCTAGCGCGACGATGCTCAGTCCTCACGCGACGAGGAGCGGCCATAAAGGTCAAACGAGTGTCCAGGAGCATCCTCGCAGTGACAAGGAGAACCACCCTGCATCCGTCCAACTGCGGCTGGTGTTGTGAAAGCTTAGGGCGTGTTGTTCGAACCGTAGACGCGCTAAAAGCAATGTAGGTAACGGCGATGTAGGTTTCGGCATTGTAGGTGGGATTGGTTCGTGGCCAAACCAATTGTAGGGCATCGTGGTTCGCGCCTTCCTGCAATCCGCTGCGTCTTGTCCGCTCGATGCATTCGCACATTTGAAACGTAGGACAGTGTGGTTCGAGATTCCCTGCAATTTGCTCTGCGCGAGCTCGGTGTCACAAGCATCAGATTCCCAGCATCGCCGTTAAGCAACATCGCTGTCAGCGCGGCCTTGGTCGAGAGCCCCCCGTTGCAAAGGAGCCGCCCTTCCTCCGTGCAGCCACTGCACCAGTTCGTACACTGGAGGCCCTGCGGCCTGCGCCGCCGACCCTGACGGCGGGACATCCCCGAGGACCCCCGCTGCCCCCCCCCCCCACCGTTGCCGCCGGGACCCCCGTGGGGGGGCGGTAATCCGACCCGGGGCCACCCTCCCCTCGGCACTGCAGGCGGGACCCCCGTCGACGACCCCCACCCTCACGGGGGGGACCCCCCCTGTGTCTTCCCTGTCAGCCAGGGAGGGGACGTAGGGCCGTAGGGACCCGGGGGGAGGGTAAGTCTGACCTGGACACCCCCCGTACCCCCGACCCACCCACTCCGCCATGGAGGGGAAAAGGGGGGAATCGACGTACGTACGACGTTTCTTCCTCCTTTTCGTTTCGAAATTTCTTTGGGACTGACGACGGCGACGACGACGACAGTGTCTCACACACGCCGAAGGGTCGACGGATTTGGTCATACATTGTGATGAGCACTTGATACGGTGCTGAACGTATGCTGAAGCCGATTTGCATTCCGCCCGTGTAATCGTTGGAGTGTGTGAAGCGAGTGCGCGCGGCGCCAAGGCGAGCCCCTTCTGAAAACCAGCCGCTCTCCGTCCGTGCACCTGATGGACATGCGAAGCATCAAGACCGTAGACGGCGAGGACGTCTCAAGCGAAACAGCTGGCTCGCCCTGACGACGCTCCTGGAGGTGAGACAGAGAGGAGCCAGTTGGCAACGAGAAGCCATGGAGTGCCCAACGGGTCCGGTATCTCCACCCTTCGAGCTACAGTGGAGGCGACGCCAAGAAACACGATGCTTGCCTCCAGGGCTCCCTGGGTCTCTTGGGTTTCGATGGTTTCGAGATGGAGAGCGCGACGCTCCCACACCAAAAATCAATGGACGTCCTGGGGTTCCAGGGATAGGTTTCTTGTGGAAGGCTTCTGGTGGTCAGGCCCCTGTTGTGTCAGTAATTCGCGGCACGGCGGGGTCAAAGGGGAGTGTCCAGCGATAGCCACGCTCTGAAAAGCAAGCGCCTTCTATCCGCGGTATCGCTGCAGGTGTTTTTGAAAGCCGTTCGAAGGTATTCGGCGAGAGCCCCGTTTTGAAAAGGAGCCTTCCTCCATTCGCGCGTATGTTGCACATTGTTATGTTTGCCATGGCAGGTTCAGAGGATGTCTCAGGCGAGAGCCCGATGTTGAAACGAACCCTCCCTACAGCCGTGCACCCGCTGGGATATTGTAGGACGAGCGCGTGCACTGTCAAGGCGAGAGCCCCGTTTCAAAAACGAGTCGCCCTCCATTGGTGTATTTCCGTTCAGGCAGGTGTGCGTGGCGCTCAGGCGAGGGCCCCTTTTTGAAAACGGAGCGTCCTCCATCCGAATGGCTGTGGGACACGCTGAAAACAAGTCGCTCCCAGCCGCGTCAGTGCGGGGCTATGTTAAGACGAGTGTGCGCGGCGCTACGGCAGTTGCCCCTTTTTGACAACGGCCCGCCCCCCCAAAGTGCCGGACGATGTTGAGACGAGCGCGCGCGCGCGTGGGGGGCTAAGTTGAGGGCCCTGGTTTAAAGACAGGCCGACCCTCGACCGTGTAAGTGTCAAAGGATGTCAAAGAGAGTTGTTGCTCGGGGCTACGTCGATGGCCCCTTTCTGGAAACGAGTCGCCCCTCGTCCGTGCACGTGTTGGCGGTTGTTGAGCCGGGCGCGCTCGGAGCTAAGTCAAGGGCCTATCTTTAAGAAAACGGCCCTACCCTCATCCGTGTAAGAGTCGAAGGTTGTCCAGGCGAGTGCGCATGGTTCCCAGGCAGAAACACATGTTTAAAAGGCACGCCGCCCACCCGTGCGTCTGTAGGACAGTGCAAGTTTCAAAGTCGCAAGCTGTGAGGAACACGCAGACGAAATTCCCCGCCCGCCCGAACGACACGTTCTGTGGTGCGACACGGGTCGGTGATTTAGAATGGAAAGGGATGGAAGAGGGAGGAAGAGGAGAAGCAGAAGGAGAAGGAGGAAGAAGAAGAATGAAGGATGAGGATGAGTTGAGAGCCAACAGGGAGGAGGAGGAGGAGGAGGAGGAGGAGGAGGAGGAGGGGAAGACGGGGGAGAACTCGGGAAAAGGGAGGCAGGAGAGGGAGGAGGGAGAGGAGCCGAGTGAAAAGGGAGGGGGAGCGAGGAGCAGGATGGACGGACAGGTGAGGAGCAGGAGGAGGAGGAGGAGGCAGGAGGGAGGACAGGGATAACGGAGTGGGCAGGAGGGGAGGGGGTGGGGGAACAAGGGAGGAGATGGGGAGGGAAGCAGGGGGGAGGGCGAAGGAGGGAGGGGGGCAGGGAGGGAGGCAGAGGTCGGGGCCCGCCGGAGCCGAGGAACCCGAGTCCCGAGGGCACGGGGCCCGCCGCCCCGCGGGGCGACGCGCCCCTGGGCGCCTGCGACATGTGGAGGCCGCCGTCGCCGGCCGTCGTCCACGCCGTCGTCACCCAGCGCCAGCACCGTCGTTGCCGTCGTCGCCGTCCCCGCAAACCCCACCCGCTGCCGTCGTCGTCGCTGCCGTGGTCGTCGTCGCTGCCGTGGTCGTCGTCGCTGCCGTGGTCGTCGTCGTCGTCGTCGTCGTCGGGGAGGGGAGGAGGGAGGACGGATGGAGGAGGGAGGACAGCGAGGAGGAGGGGGAGGAGAGGGGTGAGAGTGGGGAGAGAAGAGGAGGGAGGGAAGCAGAAGGGAGGGTCACGAGGAGGAGCCCAGGCTCCTTGAGGATCCTGGTTCTTGAGTCCTGGCCTCATGTCGGGCCTGTCCCCCTACAGGGGGGTCTTCGACGAAAAATATGAAATATTCAAAAAATGCCACAAAAAGGTCAAACAATACCCCAAAAATACTCCCCAGGCTATTTTTGGATTATTTTGTTATTATTGTTGGGGTATGTTTTATCTTTCGTCGAAAATCCCCCTGTAGGGGGACAGGCCCGACTTAATCCTGGCTCGGTATTTGTTTTTCCCGCGGCAGGGTCACATACGCGGCGCGCAGGAGACGCCACACTTGCTTGCCCCAGGTCTTCTCGGGCCCAGGGGCAATCAGAAATGGGTCAAATACGTCAAGTTGGTCCCGTGGCAGCGTCGGCTCAATCGCTCACCTCATCCCTCCTCTTCCTCCGTTTCTCCCTCCTAGGCCCTCGGAGCAGAGGCCCAGAACCATGAAACGACATTCAACACGTGTTAGAAACGGTCGGCAACCTCATCGAGAGTCCTCTTACACTTCAAACTTTAGGTAAGTCCCACGCTGCCTCCTGAGGGTGTTCGACCTTTCCTTGGATAACATCATTGCAGCGGTTTTCCTCCAGCGCTCCTCACGCATTTGGGCGCAGCCTTTGCCCTTGACGGATGTTGTTCATTATCCAGTGTTCCTGGTGCTGATCTTTGTTTTATGCAAGAGGCTTACGCCATTCCGCCGACCCCCACAAGATAGCATAGCTGGGGCGAGAAACTCTGGGAGGCACGTCGGAGTCTCCGAGAGTGTCTCTCTGCAGCCTCCTGGAGCGTCTGTCGAGGCATCTGGGCGCCTTTCGGGGGTGCGTTTTAACTCACGCCTCACATCCGCTCTGCTCCTGCCGCCTCCCGCCTCGGCCGGCGTGGGTGTCATCGCCTGCGTCCTCCTCCGCCTGAGCCTCCTCCTCCTCCTGCGGCCAGGCTGCTCCCGAGGTGGTCGCGATCCGCTCAGGTGCGGCCGGCTAGGTCATCGGGGAGACTCCTTCCAGGTCAGGTCATGCCCCTTCTGCTTCCTACTTCCTCCTCGAGCTCCTGCCTCCTCCCTCCTCCTCCTCCTCCTCCTCCTCCTCCTCCTCCTCCTCTTTCCCCTCCCTCATCCTCATCATTTTCCTCCTTTTCCTCTTCGCATTTCTCATCATCATCCTCAGCATCAGCATCATCACCACCACCACCATCATCATCATCATCATCATCATCATCATCATCATCATAATCATAATCATCATCATCATCATCATCATCATCATCATTCCCCTTCTCCGTCGAGCGACTCCAGGCAGCTTCAGCGGATGGCACTCCCCAAGGCCCCCACTCACGCACCTCAGCATGGCAACGCGAGGGGACCATGGGCAGGGAACGGACGCGGTTGGAGATGCATGCGGCCGGCGGTCTACGATCCGATCACACTCTCCGCAGTGGGGACAAGCCTCCAGGCAGCCGGCAAGGGACCACATCTTCATTCATCCGTGTCTCAGTGGAGACAGCAATCATTCATGTGGGGCAGCAGTGGCTGTTCACAGACAGACGCAAGCACACATCGTCAGGATTGTCGAGGTCAGCGAGAAATTGCAAAGCAGAGCGTGTTCCTTTCCACGGGGCAAGGGCAAGGGCGCTGTTGCCGAACAGCAAAACATCCCAGCTGAACTCACAAAGCGGATGCATGATCATTAATTTGTTTCCATCCAGGCGTTTTCTATTGATTGGGATATTGCGGCAGTGGTGCCTCGAGTTCGCCAGTGACGGGCACGCTTGCTGCAGCGGCAGAAGGACCCATTTTACGAGCGATGAAGCCGACGTAACAAGCGCACGATGTGGTGCTGACAAGTACGTATTTCGATGCAGAGGCTACGTACGATTGCTCCGTTGCCCAGAACAAAGGAAGGCGTCTTCAGCATATCAAATGCAGCACGCGTAAACGCCATTACTTGATCATCACATAGTTTTGGCATTGTTGGGTATCCTCCTAAAGAGGAAACAGCGACATGCTATGCGCTTCGGGGGCCTGCTATGCGCTTCTGTTGCGCGGCGCAGGCTGCCGTCGATCAGCGAAACGCTTTTGAGGAATGGGGGTATGCAGGCGACGTCGATCAGCGAAACGCGGGCATCATTCAGATTATACTGGAGGTTGCGGCAGAGCAATCGAAAGAGGCGTCTAGGCAGACCGAACAGCGCCAGGACACGCCGGCACACGATAGAAGCTCGTTGAACGACTCGTATCCAGAGAGAAAGCGAAGGAGGACGAATGCGAATGCCCAGAGCAGCTACATCGAGCGGAATACAAATTGAGTGGACTACAAAAAGACAAACATAAATTTATCAACCAGTTGACCGAGAAACGAGTTGAAGGTTTGTCGATAGCTCGGAGATCAAGACGTGTTTATGACGCACACAAGATCGCACGCTGGCTGGCAGACGCGCACCGGGGGCCACGGGGGGGGGGGGGCGCGCGACCGTTCGCCCGCCGCGAGTGCGACTGCATCAAAGTGCTTCTAAAAGTTTCAGTTGCTGGGGGTCGATGGCGGCGCGCAGGCCCAGTTGCTCGCGGAGGCAGAGGCGCGCCCGATCGCTTCGAGACGCGGAAGGGCAAGATCGAGCAGCCGGGCGCAAACCATCGCACCTTGCGCGGGCCAGCCCCGCCGAGGAGGAGCAGCGGGACTTCGGCAGCATGCGCCGTTGCATCTGCGCGGTGGGTCGCGCGCGATCCGCGCGGAATCGAGCTCCTCGCTGCGGGCCGGCGGAAGGCAGCGACGAGCTCGGCGCGGCAGGAGAGCATCCAATCGTGGTTTTCTGCGGCTTGCGCAGATCATTGCATCGCCCTTTGCCGAAGAAGGAGCGACATTTTCCCTATCGGGCTCGCGACGGTTTTCGCGCAGTGGCCGCGAAGGCGCCGCGTTGGATCGGCCGCGTGCGTCGGCGCGTTTGAGGCGAGCGGGGGCGGCGCGAATCGCGCGGCGCCATGGCGCCAGCAACGCGTTCCACGGCATTCACAAGGGCGCGGTGGAACATTTCCCAGCATTGGCGCCGGAGGGAAAAATATTTCGCCCTTCTGCGCAATGTCAACACAGAGTTGATCGCGTCAGACGACCTGGAGAGCGCGCGCATGGCGAACGATTAAGGAGCATTGCCAAGCGTTCACGCAGCCGCGAAGTCGCCTGCGAAGACACGTGGGAGCGGCGTTGAGACAACGATTGTTTCGACGGGGATCCGCGGCAGGGGGCGCCGCGCGCGGCGATGCCCGAGGCTGCCCAGCCCTGGCAGCGCGCGAGGGCGGTCGCTGTGCCGCGGCCGCGCTCGCGGGCGATGTAGCGAGACGAAGCACGGGCGCAGGGCAGCGTCACGCGTGCAGAGGAGCTGCCTGGAAGAATAGGGCTTCCGATTCGGGGTCTGAGGGGGCGGGCGGGGGGGGGGGGCTCAAAACCGAGACAGGCAATCGATTATGATTCTGGGCGCGGGGCTTCCAGCAGCGAGTTTCAACCGCTGGCGCCTCGGGCAGGATGGGAGACGGATTTGGTGGCCAGGTATATCCTGGCGCAGTGGCATTTCAACGACGGGTTCTCGGTGGAAAGTCACGTGCGATTACAATCCGTTCGGACTGCTTTGCGCAACATGGGGTTTCTGGACAGCCGGTCGAGTTGCCGCGCGTTTCCAAGGGGGCATTGCTCGCGCGGGCGAGGCGGGCGCGGCCCGCGCGAGTCGCGCGTCCTCAGCGCGGCGAAGTCGATGACTGAACAGTCAGTCTATGGGGCCCCTGCAGTTGCTGGCAGTCACGCATGCACAAGTGGCCATGCAAGGTATACGCGCGGCGCGACGACGTCACGTGGCGCGAGCACCCAGTCATTCAAAAACACGGCGCATCACGAAGTGCGGCAGCCTCTTCGTTGAGCAACGGGTTTGACGACTGAAGTGGCCGCGGGGCGGAGATCATCGTCGGGCCACGGCAGATCGAGTAGGTCAAGGACAGTGCGGGCCGGCCAACCTAGAGGCATCGAGCGATGGTGAAGTTCTTCCCGCCGCCCACGCGTGGACCTAACAGTTTTGCGCTGCCGCGCAAGCGTTGCTCGGGGTCGTCGGAGAGGGAAGAGATGAAGTCCAAGCCCGAGAGCAAGTTTGTTTTAAATAGTTTCTTTTGCGGGTGCAGCCTGAGATGCTTCCCTGAAAGATTGACGTCGCGCAACTCAGGTCCACGGAGCTGTCTGCTGCCACTCCGCCTCCGGGATGCGCGCGATCAGACGTTGAAGGCCGCTTCATGCAACAGGGCTTCGCACGCGCGAATCGCGTTTGTGCTGAGGTGGGCGCCGAGTGGCCCCCAGCTGCCGCTTGCCCGCGCAGCCTGCCGCGCACCTCGCGCTGTCGCGCTGTCTGTCTATCGCCTGCTTTGCCGCGGCGCGTTTGCGGACCCGGAATCGGCGCAGCGGCGCTGAGCTGCAGCCATGAAGCATGAAGCACGGGCGACGCACGATGCACACGCGCGCGCACAACCCTGCGCGCGCGCGGAGCAGCGCGCGCAGGAAAACACAAAAGTGCACATGCTGCCGCGCTGCTGATCCATCGCTTTCTGTTGTAGATCAGCACTTTGTTAGATCGCACTTGCGCGGGCCGGGCGCGCGCGCCCACGCGCTCGACGTTGAGTGGTCTGACGACGGCGCGGGAAGCATCGCCTCGGAATCTCGCCCAGCCCATTCGAG